TCCTGCTTCCTGCTGCTGAACAACTTTATGGAGATGCAGATTTCATTTTCCAACAGGACTTGTCACCTGCACACAGTGCCAAAGCTACCAGTACCTGGTTTAAGGACCATGTGTCCCTGTTCTTAACTGGCCAGCAAACTCGCCTGACCTTAACCCCATAGGAAATCTATGGAGTATGGTGAAGAGGAAGATGTGATACACCAGACCCAACAATTCAGAAGAGCTGAAGGCCTCTATCAGAACAACCTGGACTCTCAGAACACCTGAGCAGTGACACAGACTGATCCACTCCATGACACAACGCATTGATGCAGTAATCCAGAGAAAAGGAGTCAAAACTAAGTATTGATGCTGTACATGCTCATACTTTTCATGTTCATACTTTTCATGTTCATACTTTTCAGTTGGCCAACATTTCTAATTTTTTTTATTGGTCTAAAGTAATATTCTAATTTTCTAAGATACTGAATTTGGGATTTTCATTAGTTGTCTGTTATAATCATCGACATTAAAATAAATAAAACATTTGAAATATATCAGTCTGTGTGTAATGAATGAATGAAAATAATATACAAGTTTCCCTTTTTGAATGGAATTACTGAAATAAATCAACTTTTCATGATATTCTCATTTTATGACCAGCACCTGTAATATGAACCCACACAGAGACCTGGTTCTGGTGGGAAGTGTAAAACTTCTTGGGGGTCAAATATGATTTAAGGTTTCTATTAAAAATGTATATATTTTTAAATTATAAAAAAAAAAAAACCACTGTCCTAAATTGAAAACCTATTGGACATGCATATTACCCACTACGTTTTTAAGTTTAAACTGAGATCACTCAAAAGGAATCTGTAATCATTTGTGTCCAGTACGATACTGTGAGCTCACAAGATACTCAGAGTACGTGTTGGGGATGACTCTCAGCTGCTAGCAAATTAAAACTCAGCTCAATATCTACAAGATTGACTGAATTATTTCCATTTCTTGTTTAAGGTAGACAAGCTGTGGCGACCATCCTGGATTGGTTCGACTCTAAAAGCCAACTGGTTGTAGTTGTTCATTTGTTTTCCAGTTCTGGAGATTTTTTTCTGACAGAGATGCAAGCACAGACACAGGGGAAAAACATTATTGTCCTTTTCACCCCTTACAGGAAATGCACCCAGCCTAAACAATCTAAATATACTTGCAGTTAAAGCCCAACATGTGCCATGCGTCTACAATATAAACAACATGTTCTGTGCTAAACTCTCCTGTAAAGCACACAATATTTGGCACTGGGTGGATTTGAATGAATTTGGATTTATGGAAATCTTCAGCTACATCAGCATGGCGCAGAACTTCACAACGGACCTGCCTTAACTTGTTAACGGGGGGGGGAGATTTGCGCGGGTGAAACTGGACCAAGCGGCTCAATTTGACAGAGAGAGCCTAATTGTTGTCGTGCGTTTATCAGAGGTGATTTGCTGAAAGCGGGTCCTTTCCCAGCAGATAGGGTTGCGTGTTGAATAAAAGGGCTCCGAGTGAACAGATCTATTTTTGAACTGCTCGTTTGTACCGCTTCCTTTGCTGCTAAACAAAGCACAAAAAGCAATTTAAGAGTTCCATTTGTAAACCTGTTGGGCTTTTTACACACAAGCGATCACACACTGAGTCATGGGGAAATTCACCATTTTCTTATGTAAAGAACGTTGTGCATCCTCCTCCTTCTGCTGTCCAAAATTCTAAAAGTCTGTCTCCATATATTCCATCTGTCCGTATGACTGGACTCCCATTGCCCAGCCCTTCTCTTCCACTCTACCCCAACATGTTCGCTGGCATGGCTTCACTCTTCCTGTACAGTCTATCTAAACCCTGTGCTGTCCCTCACCACCATCAGGAACTCAGATGTGCAGCTGGCTGGTGGGCTTGTGACACAGATAAATGGCAAAGATCCCATTCTGACTGGCGGTAGCCGTTTGTAGGATCAAAGAATCTGGAGGTGAGAAGTAGGCGCCTTGCATATCATAAAACAATGACAATATACAGTCTTTGCTGTCGTTTAGCATCCACGCCAATGCGTTCTTGTCAATAATCCCATTCCGTGCACCGAAGGCTTGTTGTTTGTGCAGTCTTAAAGTTAACACTGTTCACAGGCTTTCTCTCACCATCTGTTCTGCTGCGACATGCTACTCGCCCAACTCGCCTGCTGCACCACTCTGTAAATAGTCTGAGAATAAATCTCTTTCACGTGTGACGGTTTTTGAAATTAGCCTAAGCTCCGTGTTTCTGCGTGATGTGCAGGTTTTCATTCATCACTTGGGCATTTCCATGCCAAGGAAAAGAGCCCATTAGAAGCAAGGATTCTAGACTCATGAACCAGGGACACCATCGAGAGGGGGAGCCCAGGGAGGCAATGGCTCTTTCTTTAATCTTACTGGTGCCTCCCCAACCATGACTGTCATATAGGTATGTTAAGAAAATGCCTCTTGAACCACTGGACAGATTTAAATGTATGTCATTGGATGTTCATGTACAATTGTTTGTAGTTAGCCAGATTCAAAATGACTTTCCCAACAATTTGACTTCAGCAGGCACAGAAACAGTCAGAACTCATTCAATGTTAACAGATGTGCTAAATTTGGAATGGTTGTAGTTGAGAGTCATCCCCAAACCATATCGACACTAAAGGATTGCAGGACGTCTTTTTGTTCAACACTTTAAAATGCAAGGTGGTGGTAATATGCGCTCTTTGAAGCAATGCCAAATTCAGTTTTGAATATAAATTTAGGAGAGGACAAGCTTCAGTTAGTTACGTAGTGACCATCCAGAATAGATTTCAAAATCTTACTTCTAACAGACAAAGCTCTCAACAACCTAGCTGCATCTTATATTAGAGGTCTTATTGTTCCATATTTTCCTATCAGAGCACTTTGCTCTCAGACTGCAGGTTTACTTGTGGTTCCTAGAGTTTCCAAAAGCAGAATGGAAGGCAGATGTTTCAGTTATCAGGCTCCTCTCTTGTGGGACCAACTTACAGTTTCTGTCCATGTCTGTCCAGTTTTAAGACTGGGCTTAAGTCTTTCTTTTATTGATAAATCCTATAGTTAGGGTTGGCTTATGTTTTTCTAAGCTTTCCCTTAGTTATGCTGCTACAGGCTTAGACAGCTGGAGGACAAACTGACCAATTTGCTGCCGTCTTTACTTACTCTGCTCTACCTAATGTTATTTGTAAGTATTTCTAACGTGTTTAACGTGTTTTATTATTTTATTTTTTTTGTCGTTCCTCCCATAGTACAGCTGGACTTGCCATTCTATGTCTGTCTGTTTCTCCTTGTCCTCTCAAACCAGCCGGTCGAAGCAGACGGCCGCTCGTCCCGAGCCTGGTTCTGCTGGGGGTTTCTTCCTGTTTAAAGGGAGTTTTTTCTTTCCACCGTCTCCTTTGTGCTTGCTCAGGGTGGGAGACTCCGATGAAGTGAAGATTCAACACAGTCCGCTGCTTCCTTTGATTGAGAACTGTTACTAATTGGCTCTTTTAATGCATGTGAATGTTTCTGTTCAGTGCCCTGACATGACTTCTGTTGCGACTCGACGCGTTACAAATAAACTGAATTTAATTTAATTGACAGTTCAGTTTCAAGGTGAGGTGGTATCTCATGGCTGAGGGTGAGGGGTTGCCAAGGTGGGGACAAAGTAAGCCGGGGTGGGCAATGATATAATGTGCATGGCATAGAAGACAGTTTTGCAAGCCGGCGCACAGATGGTATACCAGTGATTGAAAGAATTGTTGCACAAAACGTGGCTGCGTGGCTCATTTGTCGTAAACACTTAGAATCCCGTGAGACTACGGCTGAAAATTAACCCGTTTGCTTGAAATTCTGAATCAAGTCGCCAAATAATCTTGAGCATTTGCAGCCCATCAGATATTACCACTAGTAATTGTCTGACTCCAACGTTGCAGCATTTAAAAAATATATATTTAACATAAAAACACCAGAAAATTGTCTATGGGTTCTGGTTTTCACGTGCCACCCCAAACATATCAGTGGCCCCCGACTGGCCCCCTTTGAAAAATTTCTAGAGGCGCCACTGTCTCAAATTCATTATAAGCCAGTTCATACGACTGTGCTTAATTTTACTGAGAGAAACAATGGTTTCGTTAAATCTCTGCTTTTTGAAGCCTTCCGTCCAACGAAATCAGCAATAATCCAGGCAGAGAAAACAAACAAAAAAGGTGCTCCATTCATGAATCTCCTGCTCCACATGCAGATGGACGGCGTTGTTGGAAACCGTGCACACATCAGACCCTCAAAAACAAGAGGTTCACACGATCGCTTTACGTGACATTTAGCAGAGACAGGTTGAAAGGAGACGATTCATATACGCTCCTCAAAACCCATCATGCAACCGCTGATTGTGCATGAAGAAGCAATGATGCAGCATCATAACTAATCTTCTTCTCATTCTTTACCAACTTCTACAAGTCGCAGAGTTCATTATAAGAAAATGACCATTTCAGCATTTGCTGTGTAATCAGACTTTTCTTCAAGTTAGTATTTGAGCTGGAAGTTAGTTTTGAGAACCTCCTCCACAGATGGCGTACAGTAATTATATATGTAAGACATTAACAATAGTAAGTTACTCTTACGCAATAATCCTGTACTGCTTTAATGTGTATCTATTTAGTTCACGCTAAGTTGAACATATTATACCCAACAAGAAAATAAAAACATAACTTAAGTCACTCTTGTACAATTAATTAAATCTAACGAGTAGATCATATGAAAACTTGTTAATCAACATCTAATTTAAAAAATGCATGTGCTTTGACTTGACATAACATGTTAAAGTAAATCCTGAATATATTTTTGGTGATCCCAGTAATGCTTACTGAATCTTTAAGCACAATAAAAATCTGTCAAACCAGTAAAACTTCACTTGATGTGCTCAGCACGACCAGCACAAGTGGCAACTGATCAAACTGAAAGCAATCATTTGCAAATCATCTTCTGATATTTTACCTCTGTTTCCAGTTGCACCAGTTCCATGGTGGGCCATGGCTCCGCGATTTGTGCAAGAGGCATTCTGTAGTTTTATATGTCCCCCCCCCACCCCACCCCCCTCCCCTTTCAGCTGCGAGAGTCAAGTCCAAGTCCTACAAGCTCCCTGCTCAGGTCCCAAGTCCCAGTGGAGCAGATTTGTCAGCCCTGTGCGCTCACACCAGGGAACAGTGCGCGTAAAGAAGAGGCAGCTCCACAAACAATCCGCTGGTTTCAATCTGGAACTGGTTGGATTATTGTTCTCTGTTGGGGTTAAATCAATCCGGCTGTGCGGAGGAACATTAACCCCAGGCAGCAGTGTCCTTCCAGGTGAGCGCGCCCTGAGGTTTGTGGCTTTAAGTGGAGGGGGGAGGACAGAAGAGCGCAACTGTAATCCTTTAATTAGCAGCAGCGCCGCGCACGAGTCCACGCTCAGGAGTTATCGCTGCAGTCGACGTCCTCTCAGCAGTTCTGTCTTCCTGCTCCTGGTTTTCTCTCCCGGTTGAAAAAAAAAAAAAAAAAAGAAGAAGAGAGAGTTCCCTGCGTGCGCCAGCAGCTCCGCCGTGCGCGCACAGACCTCGCAGTGACTGTAGTACGAGCACACGCTCAGCTCGAGCCGTCATTGGCAGGCTCCAACAAGATTTGAATCCAGCCCACTTTTTCTTTTTCTTTTCTTTTTTTTTTAAAAACCTGATCCGCCCAGGTCGGATCGCGCCATCATCTGGTGGAGATGAGAACTTGAAAAGACGTCATGCAGCGCGTGGAGCCTTTGCTGCAGCGCGAGCTCCGTCAGATCTCCAGCTCAAAACTGGGAAGCACGCAGTGACGTAATGTTTCCTGTAGAACACGTCGCGCCCAGAGGATGACTCTCAGCTACTACCACGCCAGATTTGACCCCAATATATGTTAAATACACGGAATTGCAGCTATTTTTGTGTTTTCTAAGATCAGTTGAAAAATGAATATGGTAACCATCTTGAATTGGATTAGCTCCAAAATTTAAATAGTTGTAAAGGTGCATTCAGTGATTATTTCCTAAAAGTTTCATTAAAATCCATCCCATGGTTCAAGAGTTATTTTGCTAACAGACAAAGTTGACACCATGTTGAAAATTAAAACTTGCACAATCTGTTAGTGCTCAACATATAAGTTGGGGATAAGTCTCAGCTACTAGCACATGAAATTTATGCTCCTTATCTGTGAAAGTGACCAAGTTATATCCATGATTGTGTTTTCTAAGATCAGCTGGCTGTGGCAGCCATGTTGAATTGGGCTGGCTCCAAAAGTTAATCAGCTGTAAAGGTACATTCAGTGATTGTTTCCTAAAAGTTTCATTAAAATCCATCTCATGGTTCAAGAGTTATTTTGCTAACAGACAAACACCAGTTCATGGCAAAAATTAAAACAAAGCTCTTGCACAATCAAAATATGCACTGAGGACAGTCTCAGCTACTAGCACATGACATTTGGGATCCTCATTTGTGAAAGTGACCAAGTTATATCCATTATTGTGTTTTCTAAGATCAGCTGGCTGTGGCAGCCATGTTGAAAAAGGATGACTCCAAAAGTCAATCAGTTGCAGATGTATATCCAACAAGTATTTCCCAAAAGTTTCAATAAAATCCATACAATAGTTCACGAGATATTTTGGTAACAGACATGGATAAACATTATGTCCACCTTCTCCTTCCAGCAGTGGGCAATGACCGTGCTTGATTTCATGAAGCTATATTTAATGCACGTTGTCTTCAGACCCACTTCCTCTAAGTCTAAAAATGACACGTAAGAATTACATAACTTTTCATATTACACAAGGACTCTGATGTAAAGGAGAGAAGTTGTGAGAATCCATCAGTCGTGACCGGTGCGGTTCTGATCCGGAGCGCTCTTTTCAATAACAGGTCCTTCTGATCTTCAGCGACATGACGCCTCCCATCATCATTCCCCTGCTTCATTCACCGCAGAGTGGATTTTGCTCTTGGCCGCCGTTGGTAACCATTGGCAACTGGAGGCCGTTCAGCCGCCTTTCTTTGTGCGTCTGATAAATGTTTTATTCAGATTCAGATGAAGACATCGTCTCGTAGACTCAAAAAAAAAAAAAAGGGATAAATGAACGGAAAGTGGCTTATTGTTGTTGGTGCCTGTGTTTTGATGGATGTGTTGTGTAAAAGTGTAAATGCAAACTGTTACTGCCGCTGATGGAGCCCGTCTGACCTCATAGTGGCAGCTTTATCACCAAATCTGGAACATTTCCTTCATTGTGTTGTTGCATCACAATCTGCGATTTCTGGACTCTGTGTCCAAGCTGCTCCGCTCGTCTTCTCACAACCAGAGAGTGACCGGAGCGTTCATTCATGTCTGAGTGGCCCCACACACAGAGCCACCGGGAGAAAAGGCTACTTGTAAATTGTATTGCTCGTTCGGTTTCTGTCATACGTAGAGATTTAGCATCACTTGAAGGAGAGTATATCACCCTCCATTTTTAATGCCTCACACACACACATTGTTGCCTTTGCAAAACACTAGTTAAATACTAGCTAAAAGAGAAAAAAACTAACTCTGTCTTATATTACAGATCTTATTGTTCTATATTTTCCTAACAGAGCAATTCATTCTCAGACTGCAGGTTTACTCGTGGTTCCTAGAGTTTCCAGAAGCAGAATGGGAGGAAGATCTTTCAGTTCTCAGGCTCCTCTCTTGTGGAACCAACTTCCAGTTTCTGTCCATGAGGCTGACACATTGTCCAGTTTTAAGACTGGGATTAAGTCTTTCCTTTTTGATCAATCCTATAGTTAGGGTCAGCTTGGGTTTCCTGAGCTGTCCCTTATGTTGCTATAGGCTTACACAGCTGGAGGACAAACTGACATTTCCTCACTTTGCTGCTGTCTTTACTTACTCTGCCTGTTTGTCCATCCATCCATCCATTATCTTTACCCGTTTATTCCATTTTGGGTCACGGGGGTCGCTGGTGCCCATGTCCAGCAATCACTGTGCGAGGGGCGGGGTACACCCTGGATGGGTCGCAAGTCCATCACAGGGACACATAGAGACAAACGAGACAAACAACCATTCATTCTCTCACTCACACCTAGGGACAATTTAGAGTTACCAATCAGCCTAACATGCATGTTTTTGGTCTGTGGGAGGAAACCGGAGCACCCGGAGAAAACCCACGCATGCACGGAGAGAACATGCAAACTCCACCCAGAAAGGGTTTGAACCAAGGACCTTCTCGCTGAGAGGCAGCAGCTCTACCAGTTGCGCCACCATGCTGCCCCTGCCTGTTTGTATTTCTATGTTTTGTATTTGTAATTATTTCTTCTGTCCTTGACATGTTCTTGTTTTTTTTCGTCTTTCTTCCAATAGGGGTACACCTGCACCTGCACCTACACCTGCACCTGCACCTACACCTGCACCTGCACCTACACCTGCACCTGCACCTGCACCTGCCATTCTGTGTTTTCCTTTGTTTGTCCTTCCTGTCCTCTCAAACCAGCCGGTCGAAGCAGATGGCCACTTGTCCTGAGCCTGGTTCTGCTGGAGGTTTCTTCCTGTTTAAAAGGGAGTTTTTTCTTTCCACCGTCTCCTTTGTGCTTGCTCAGGATGGGAGACTGTGACGAAGTGAAGATTCAACACAATCTGCTGGATTTCTTAGATTGCTTTACTAATTGGCTTTTGTGTGTATGTGAATGTTTCCGTTCAGTGACCTGAGACAAGTTCTGTTGTGATTTGGTGCTATATAAATAAACAGAATTGAAATTTAATTTAACTGAATTAAAAGTAGCTAAACGATAGCTTAAATCACTTCTTGGTCTGCTGCCTTCATACATCTCCTCCTACATGTCTCTGTGTGAGTGCAGCTACAGCGTGCGCTCTCAGGACATTATTACCTGCAGTGTTCCCTCAGTGAGGACTGAACTAGACAAAAGGTCCTTCTCCTACTCAGCTCCAGTTTCCTGGAATATCTTACAAAAAGATTTGAAGCTCTCGACCTTGACCTCTCTAAGTGGCTTTAAGAATCTGTTGGACTCCTGGCAAGAACCAATGCAGACATGTTCCTGTTTTTAGTTCTCTACATCACTTTATAATGTAGCTGTTTTTCTTTCTTTTTATAAATATAATTGTTTCCATTTACTTTTCATTTTATATGCTGTTGTATGATTGTCTACTTTTGTCATTGGCGTTCTTTGTTTAAAACGGGTCTCTCTTGTAAATGAGTCTTTGAGGCTCAATGAGACTGTTCCCTTCTCTGTTCCGGTCGAGGGTGAGGTCCTGCCTCAAGTGGAGGAGTTCAAGTATCTCTGGGTTTTGCTCATGAGTGAGGGAAGGATGGAGCGTGAGATTGACAGATGCAGTATTGCAGACTCTGTGCCGGTCCATTGTGGTGAAGACGGAGCTGAGCTGGAAGACAAAGCTCTCTGTTTGGTCAGTCTACGTTCCTCCCCTCACCTATGGTCATGAGCTCTGGGTAGTGACCAAATCAATGAGATCGTGGATACAGGCGGTTGAAATGAGGTTCCTCTGCAGGGTAGCTGGACTCTCCCTTAGAGAGAGGATGAGAAGTTCAGTTATCAGGAGAGACTCGGAGTAGAACCACTGCTCCTCCACATTGAAAAGAGCCAGTTGAGGTGGTTCAGGCGGCATCTGGTAAGGATGCTCCCTGGGTGCCTCCCCAGGGAGGTGCTTCAGGCATGTCCGACTGGGAGGAGACTGCGGGGAAGACCCAGGGCATGCTGGGGAGACTATGTCTCTCAGTTGGTCTGGGAGTTCCTTCGTGTCCTCCCAGAAGATCTGGAAGAGGTGGCTGTGGAAAGAGATGTCTGGACCTCCCTGCTCAAGCTGCTGCCCCCGAGACCTGACTTTGGAACAAGCGGAAGATGATGGCTGGATGGATGCTCCCTTCTTCAGGGGTTGCCACAGCGAACTAACTTGCACGAAGACTTGACCATTATTTTTTACACCGGATGTCCTTCCTGACACAACCACAGACCCCTGAGCTACCACAGCCCTCTGTGTGGAGCAGAGAGCTGCTGTCTATAGGGCGCCGGGGGGAGCACATGGGGGTTAAGGGCCTTGCTCAAGGAGCCAGAGTGGGACAA